TATATAAATAAATGTTGAGAAATTCAATTCAATTCAAAAACACTTTATTAATTCTAAAGGGCAATTAAGTGTTGTCGTAGCTCATCATCCTGGTTTCATTCAAGAGTTGTTATAGATGCTGATAACTATGGGCAGGAAGGATCTCCTGCAGCAAATCCAAAGAATCTGGCCACAGGTACCGATCCGTCCACCCAGATCTGCATAAATGCCGGGCAGAATTCCTTCCTGAGCGATGACCAGTAGTTTGCTAAGTTCCTCATCGCCACGGACAGACAGCTGAAAGTGCCAGGGGATGCTCCCGGTCCTCCCATTATCACGAGCCGAGTTTCCCACCCGCTGCAGAATCACAGCGGTTAGGTACTTGAGCACCGCTGCCAGGTTGATGGGAATTTGTCCACGGCACCTCCTTTTCAACTCATTTTGGATTTGAGGCTGTAGTTGAGGTATTTGAGCTTTTGAGATATTAATCAGCTGCTCCAGGTTGTGAAAAAAAAAAATCCTTGTTGCCATGGTTACGCATCATAACAAATGCCCAAGTAAAAAGCTTTCAATAAAAATCCTTCCAGCTGCACAGCATCTGATACCAGAAGAAATAATCATCTGAAAAAAGCGATTTACATCCAGAAAAAAAGAGGAATTAAAGTTTTTCAAAGCAATAGAGTGGCGCAATTCTAGAATTTCAAAAAGCTGAAATCTCAGGTGAAACTTTTTATTTTTAAATCCAATTTACAGAATTTGCAAAACAAAGCATGGAATTTGTGACGCAGCAAAGATGTGAAACTGAAATCTGGTGAGAATAAACGGAGATTGGCCAATGACAATATTTTCACGCTCATTTTGAAGAACACCAGCACCTGATGAAGGCCACTTCAGATATTAAAACAAGTCAGGGAAAGTTTTCTTATCACTCAGTCAGAACGTGCCACTGTTGTTGTCTTCCAAGGGTAAATTCCAGTCTGAACAATCTCTAGCCTTTAATTGGCCTCCGTGTTGGAAAGTGATGACGCCAGGTCGGAGACAAGGGCACATTGTTTACCCCCCACTGGGCAGACAACCATCTGCTGCTAAATCTGCTCCGAGGTGGTGCAATCCTTCAAGGATATTTCTCAGAGCTGCCACAATGCACTGATTCACTGAACAGTCACTCACAGTGTTATTTTCTCTTTGATTAAAACTGAGCTATTTTATCCAATATTTCAGTCTCACTTTATTTTGGGGCTTAAATATATATATATTTTTTAAGTGGGGTTCCGTGGAGAAGCAATGAATAAACATTATCTTACCTGTTGTAGATGACCAAG